TTTACCGAGGACCCTTTCCTCGCCGGCGAATATGGTTATAGCTACGTCAAGGGAGTGCAGGGCAAGAATGTGTCAGCCATGGTCAAGCACTTTGCGGGCTTTAGTGCCCCCGAGCAGGGACTCAATACTGGTCCAGTTCACGGTGGTGAAAGAGAATTGCGCACAACGTGTGTCAATCCCAAGCCTAGAGAATAAACAGTTGACTAACCGTTGCATAGGTGGTTGCCTTCTTTCAAGCGAGCTATTGTCGATGCCGGTGCTTGGTCCATCATGGCTGCATACCACTCGTAAGTCTAACCTGGTCCGATGATATCGCCATGCTAACATGTGTTTTTAGATGGGACGGAATTCCAGCAGTCTCTGACTACCACACGCTCACCGAGATCCTAAGGGAAGAATGGGGATATGAATATTTCGTCATGAGCGATGCTGGTGGAAGCGACAGAGTGTGCTCCTACTTCAAGCTTTGTGAGAGCGATCCCATTGACATGGGAGCGGTTACCACGCAGCTGCTGAATGCTGGAACCGACATTGAGATGGGAGGCGGTTCATTGTGAGCTCTAATGAAACCAGCACGACCCAGAAACATACACTAACTACCGACTAGCAATTTCCAAAAGATACCCGAGCTTGTCAAGTCCGGCAAACTCGATATTGACGTTGTGGACACTGCTGTGGCCAGGTTGCTCCGGGTCAAGTTCGAAATGGGTCTCTTTGAGAATCCATACCCTGCTGCGCCTAACAACGAGTGGCATTCGCTCATTAACAGCCCCGAGGCTGTGAAAGTCGCAAGAGACCTGGACAAGGAATCTATCGTTCTGCTTGAGAACCACGAAGACATTCTGCCTCTGAAAAAGTCGAGTAATATTGCGGTTATTGGGCCTATGGCTGGTGGTCTCATGAACGTAAGTCAACATTCTTATTTCTCTTGTTAGCCTGTATGTTAACGACGTTTATAGTACGGTGACTACGTTGTCTACAGGAGCCAGTACCGGGGTATCACTCCCCTCGAAGGAATCAAAGCTGCAGTTGACGACAATGCCCAGGTTCACTATGCACAGGGATGCGATCGAGCGAGCAATGACCAATCAGGCTTCGAAGAGGCAATTGAGGCCGCAAAAAAGGCCGACGTAGCCGTCGTGATTGTTGGAACCTGGTCGCGCGATCAGGGGGAACTCTGGACAGGACTGAACGCAACGTGAGTAAACCCACCTTGTTTCAATATATATCTAGAAATGTCAGTACTGACAGACAAAAAGAACTGGCGAGCACGTCGACGAAGATGATCTGTCCCTTGTTGGCGCCCAAGGACCTCTGATCAAAGCCATTGCCGGCACCGGCGTGCTAACAATTGTCGTCCTGTCAAGCGGCAAGCCTATTACAGACACATGGATCGCGAACTCAACCGCTGCTCTCGTGCAACAGTTCTACCCATCCGAGCAGGGGGGTAACGCCCTCGCCGACGTCCTCTTCGGCGACTACAACCCATCTGGCAAGCTATCTGTTAGCTTCCCTCGCTACGTGGGCGATCTCCCGATATTCTACGACTATCTCAACTCCGGACGCTCCATGGGTGACGTCGGCCATAAGTATGACAATGGAACTCTCGTGTTTGGCCACTCATACGTTCTCGGTGACGCCTCACCGTGGTATCCCTTCGGCTATGGCAAGAGTTACTCCACCTTCAAGTACGGAGTTGTCAAGGTCGACAAGAGCACGATATCTGCGTCTGAGAAGACTGTCACTGTGAGCGTTGATGTGACTAATACCCATGCTACCCGTGAGGGTACGGAGGTTGTGCAGGCCTATATCCAGGATGATATTGCCTCTGTTGTTGTTCCTAATCGTCAGCTTAAGGGCTTCAAGAAGGTGGTTATCCCTGCTGGAAAGACTAAGACTGTCGAGATTCCTATCAAGGTTGAGGATATCGGTCTTTGGAATACTCGGATGAAGCATGTTGTTGAGCCCGGTCAGTTCACTGTCCTTGTGGGTAGCAGCTCCGAGGATATTCGTGGTAATACCACGTTTATTGTTCGTGATCGTTGAGGTGTTTATATCGAAGGGAAGTTAGTTCTTAGTACATAGTCCGATGTGTGTGTTGTTTGGTGCATCTTAGATGACTGATTGTATATATCTTGCGTGATATGGGAAGATGAGATTCAAATTTTCAGAAACCCAGTCGCTTCCCCTACACCTTTTCCTCCTCGTATCCTAAGCTGATTTTGCTTCTCGACGACTGGACACATAAGAATTTGCTATGCACTATACATATTCAATATTATTTATCTCGTCCGGATGATTCTATCAGGCTGGTATGAGATAATAATCAGTATTTGCCGAACTACCGATCGAGATACGTGATAATCAATTGGATTCGAAGCTTCATAAATGGTGTAATGGGGATATCTCATAAAGGCATAGCATAGAGGACCAAACGCCGTTTCTAACCACCGAGAATGGATGTTGCGAGACTATGCTGGATTATCACCTGCAGCACGAGACCCTGCTTGACCAGTTGAGGGACCTCGACCAGGATCTGGGGAGACCAAGGGTTCCGATGGCTTGCTAGCACCACTCGCAGGTGGATTGCTTTGACTGTCACCGGAGCGACCCTCCGCTCTCCGAGTTTTAGCACCCTCTTTCAATTTCTCCCAGCGGTCTCGGTATCGCCCAAGAACATTCTTGAGTTTGTCGTTCTCGTGAGCAACACTTTCAAGTTTCTTCTCACTATGTCGGATCTGCTCCTCGAGTTCTTTGATCCGCGCGTCAGTATCAGCCGCACCCGGCGGCGCAGTCAGCGTAGCAACAGGAGATGCAGTGGCTGTTGAAGGCTGCAAATAATCAGGCGTCCCGGCGCTTTGGCGGTGCATCATTCGGATTGATTGCTGCAGCGCCATTGATGAAGATTGCGCGCTCACCTCCCACATATGCAACCGTGTCGCAAGCGAATCGGTCAAACCTCTCAACGTCTCATTCTCCACCTGCATCTCCTCCATTGTCTTGTGTGTCTGCAGAGTGGTAAGCTTATCGGGTGCGCCGCGGCGTCCCGCCCATATGCGCGAACCACTGGCACTATGACGCATTTCAGGAGACGAGGGGGTCTCTCGCGCATCCACGAAGTCGTCATCGCCATCCTCGAGACTGTTCCTGCGTGCCTGCTTTTCAGCTCGGGTGAGGATTCCTGCGTAGGAAATAGTTCCACCCGTGGTTGGGACTACATAGAATGACTCTGCTGGGTTGCCGGGACCTGCCCCAGAGCCGTCCCGAATCGACCGCAATGCGGCCCGAGAGAAGAGCTTGTTCACGTCAGGCTCGCCCGCAGTCATGGACCGGTCTAGAACAGCATGCTCACGGTCTAGTTTCACCTCAGCTGAGGACTTGCGACTCTGTTCAGCGCGGGCTGGATCAGACCCTATTTGAATCCCCGCGAATGCCAAAGGTCCGGACACCTTGGAGACCAGTCCCCCGAAGGCTGAGTAGAAGCGGTTGAATGCTTCATCGGCAATTGCAGGCTTATCTTTCGATCCTTCAGATTCAGCTGCACTAGGTACAGTTTGCTGGGGATCCACCTCAGTGGAACTGGGTGTCGGAGGAGACCATGGTTGTCTGGGTGTAGAAAAACGACTGTGCCGATTCTTGGCTGGTCCGTCACGTAGCCTTATATCGCCGGCTCTAGCCCGCGGTGGTGTTTCGGTCATCTTTGCCGCGGCATGTTGCGATGTAAGTGTTGGCGACACCGGCGATCCACGCCGGGGCTGTGATGGGATTCCCCGGGCGGATGCTAGGTTACTAGCAATAGATGGTGTATCCCGACTTGGCAGACGAGTGTTGCCTACCAATCTTGGTGGTAGGTGTGCATCCTGGTTCGCGCCTGCACTCTTTGTGTCGCGAGTCTCGGCGGTCTGTTGGGTCGCTAATGCCGAGGAGGCAGTAGCAGGTGCTGTTTCCGCAGGGATCGTGGTTGGATGTTCATGCTGGAATCGGAGGATTTCGGCGAGCTTCTTGTGGTGAGTTTCGAGTAAACGTAGGGTCCGTAGGGCCTATGACGCGTTAGCCCAGAACCGAGCGGGGGTAGATCTTCTACTCAATCAAGACTCACCTCATGGTCGGAGCTGCTCTGTGCAGCCGTTGCGAATTCACCAGCAGCTAGATCATGCTCCTCGCTGGCAGCGACTGGGTTGGCCTTGCGAGTCTCTAGCACTGCGTTCCGGGCATGAGTGTGGGCCTGGGTGCGGTCAGATTATGCTGAAAATGAGGGGATGAGGTCTTACCAAGGCCAAAGGAGCTACTTCCATGGTGAAGATTATTTCACTAGGAGTCAAGAGATAAAAACCAGGTGCATTCTTCTGATGGGATTTTTCCGGGGAATGTTGGAGAAGTGACGTTATGCGCAGTGAATGGGAGTTTGATTTGACAGTGACACTACGGAGAAGGTAACACCATGTACGCCATATACAGAGATATGAGGTGGACGAGAGGACATTCGAAACAAAACAATACTTCTAGATCAACCTAGAATAAATATTCTACATTTCAGACTGAAAGCAGCCAAATGTCAAGTCACATCCACATTCCAGTGGAGACGCGGAGAGTAGACGCTGATAGCTACACGGCGGTCAAGCTACTCGACGGCCATCGACTCAGGGGGAATGTCAAGAATACCAAGAATAGCAGGAATAATAGAGAATAAAGCCATATCATCACGAATGACATACATAAAACCAATTGAATAGGAGAAAAGCAAGTTTCAGTCTCATAAGGCTAGTCAGTTATCTACTTGGCGGGTGACTAAGTTGCGGAGCTCCAGGGGATGAGCGGACTATTCAGCACTTCTCTCTCTCTCTTTACTTCGATCCCGTTTATATATGGAAGTTCTCACACATGAAAAGAAGAGAGGCAGAAAGTGTTACTACGTACGCCTCATGACAACTTTCCCTTGAATCTCCTGGTCTCCCCGCATCAACCCCCCCGATTCTCATTCCCTCTGCATTCCTCCAATTATGGCCGACTCTTCGTCTTCAAGCTTTAAAGGCGAGAACAGATCGCGCCGCTCCTGGACATTATCGGCAGAATCAAGTGCAATCGGTAGCAATGGTCGGTCATCCCAGGAGTCGACCCTCGAGAGACCGAAAACCCAGGGTGGAGAAGCAGCAGATCCTAAGGCTGGTCCTAGTGGATTCTCAAAGCTACTCGATGCGCGTCGGAGGCGGAAAGAGCATAAAAAAAGCATCAGAAACAAGCCGACGAGCCGCCCGTGCCGACTGTTGTTTTGGAACGAGACCTGCATGAAAGCCGGTCCAATGAATCTCGCGATGGGACCTCCGCAGCCCCGTCGTCGAGCACAGACAGCTGGGTGCCGGAGAACGAGGGCAATAATCTATTGACAGATGATTCCGAGCCGGACGGGTAAGTTGAACAACTGGCCTTATTATTGTCTTGAAGTACTCCTAACCAGCTGAGCATTTTGGCTTCGTTTAGGCCCCCGCCGCTCACCTCACATGACTCCCATACCGGATTCTACACTTCGTCCTCCCCAATGATCAAGACCAAATCGGTGGATACCGCAAATACGGAAGGATGGCATGGTGATGCCGAGTCAGCTGTTAGCGGCTCTAGTGCCACCGGGTCAGAATCAAACCCGGGTGATAGAATCTCCCGACGCGCAACATCAGGTATGGCATTGGATGTCCCCACGGACTCAAATGGCAAGAGACGCAGTCCATCCCCTGGGCGACGCTTGAGAGGCGCTTCCAATTCAGACAAGAGAGGTGCCAATGACGACGCTGAGGCTTCATCGATTAAGTCTGGGAGCAACAAAAGCCGAAGTCTGTTCGGAGGCAGCAGGCGGGGCAGTCTTTCATCGAAACGAGCACAGGCAGCCCCTGACGACGTTCCGCCTTTGCCTGCACCAATTCGTACTGATCTAACGGAGGAGAAGCCTCGTGCGCTTGAAGCGAGCCCCATGCCGAACACCCCACCTCATACCGCTATTCCTGCACCAGAGACGACTGTAACCCCTCCAACACCAACTGAGCATCGCCCTCTCAGTGCACAAATCCTATCTAACAATGTTACCGATTCGCCCGAGCCCATACAAGAAAATTCTCCCGGTGTTACTATCGTGAGCCCCTCTGGAAACATGATCTCTCACCGCCGGGTGCGGTCCGCTTCTGCAGCTCATGGCCCAAGCAAATTGTCCAATTCAGTGTCTGCACTGACGCCTCTTGAAGAAAAAACCCCGGGGCCGAAGAATGCAACTTCAAACCAGCAAAGTGGCTTCTTCTCCTCCGTGTTTTCAGTTGCGCAAAACGCCGCCACTTCCTTAAGCAACAGCATCAACGCACAACAGAGAAATCGTCCAACATTTCAACCTGTCCCTGCTGATGCTGATAAATCACCCAATGAATCCACGGAGGAGGGCGAAAGGACATCGGATAACGGCAGCAAGACTGAAGGGAGACCATCTGCTGTAGAGACTCTTGGGGCAGGAGATCTAAACTTCAGCCATCTGGACATTGACGCACGACCCGGTGAGTCAATCACGACTGCCGAAGGCGTGGTGATTACAAAGCCAGTGAACCCCGCTGACAACCGCAAAAATACAGCTGTTTCCCGGCGAGACGAGGAAGCGGCTAAACTTGAAGACAAACGCGCAGCGCGCGCTGTTCAAGTAGCATACGAAAGACCCTCGGAGCTTTCATTGACGGGCCCTGCGGAAGACGCCCTGGATATTGAGTCTAACACCTCACTTCCGAAAGATAGCTTGATTCTGGGTGATCAAACTCCTCCCAGTGGTAGTATTATTGACGGTGACCTAAGCGGGGGCCTTGGGCGCTCAGGCAGTGTGCGCAGTAGGCTTGCCCGGCGTCATCGGGGCTCATCTGGGGCCACAGCCTCGACGATTGGAGCGATTGGCGCCAACCCCGCTGCCCTTGGTGTTCCTGGTATCAATTCCAGTGTGCCTCGGTTGACTGGCTTCGCTGTTGCGAGTAAAAAGCGCAATCGGGACTTTCACCAATTATTCCGGAGTGTACCTGAAGACGATTATCTTATCGAAGATTACAGCTGTGCGTTGCAACGTGAGATCATTCTTGCCGGCCGCATTTATATTTCAGAAGGGCACATCTGTTTCTCTAGTAACATCCTGGGATGGGTCACGACTCTAGTGATCAGCTTCGATGAGGTTGTTGCTATCGAAAAGGAAAACACGGCCATGGTGTTCCCCAATGCTATTGCCATTCAGACACTTCACGCGCGTCACACTTTCCGCAGTTTGCTCAGTCGTGAGTCCACCTATGACCTAATGGTTAACATTTGGAAGATCAACCACCCCACCATTAAGAGCTCTGTGAACGGAACCCGCGTAACCCATGGCACCGGTGATAAGACAGAGAAGGTCGGGGAGGACGAGAGCGAGTCCGAGAGCGAGGCCACCGATGAAGATGAAATATACGACGAGGACGAGGAAGGAGAGAATGCCGAGAGCTTCTACGAGAGTGGCGACAGCGCCAACAACAGTGCAACATCATTGCCATTGCAAAAAGGATTAAGTCGCAAGGCTTCGAATCTATCCACAAATGCTGCCGTGCCAGTGGCCGGCACAAATGGCAATGGCGATAAAAAGAACGGAGACAAGGGAACTTCCAAGGACGCGACTCCTGATTTCCCAGGTCCGACTACACATGCGCCTACCGAGTACGTCGAAGCCAACGGACAGTACGAAAAAGTCATCAAAGATGAAATAATTCCTGCGCCGCTCGGCAAAGTCTTCTCTTTGGTTTTTGGCCCAGCGTCCGGCGAATTTATGACCAAGTTCCTTGCCGACAATCAGAAATGTGGAGAGCTACAGTTCGAGGGAACACCGAAGGGTTTGACGATGGAAAGCCCAACCAGGAAGTACTCATACATCAAACCTCTCAATGGCTCTATCGGTCCGAGGCAGACCAAATGTATCAGCACTGAGACCATAGACTTATTGGACCTTGAAAAGGCCGTTCTTGTCACCCTGAGCACCCAAACACCCGATGTGCCTAGTGGGAATGTTTTTGCTACCATGACCAAGTACCTCTTCACATGGGCTCCTGGCAACCAAACTCGCTTCCTCATGACTTGTACTATTGAGTGGTCAGGCAAGAGTTGGCTTAAGGGTCCTATTGAGAAAGGTGCAATTGATGGGCAAACGACCTTTGGTAATGAGCTGGTCAAAGCCTTGCAGGTTGGTGTTGTTCCCCGTGGGCGTGGCGCTGGACGAGGCAAAGGAAAGCGCAAGAAGGGCGATGCCGCAGGGCGGGAGTCGACCGCGGCTGCTTCGTTGAAGGTTACTGTGGATTCCAGCACCGGAAATGGGGAATCATGGGGACTATTCGAACCAGTCCGCCCACTCCTAGAGCCCTTTACCAGCCTTCTCAGTCCGCTATGGACTAGCAACGTTGCTCTTCTAGTTATCGGAGTCTTGTTCTACATGGCGTTCTTCCGATCCTCGCCGTCATCGTCCATGCTTTCGTCTGACGTCGGCTTTCCCGGTCACAGCTTGCCCCAGAGACTGGCTGCATACGAAGAGATGTGGCGACGCGAAGAGACTGAGCTCTGGAACTGGCTGGAAGACCGGGTTGGTATGGACGGAATGGTATTTCCAAACGTCTACCGGTCGCCCGAGCCACACCCAAGTCGTAGGTCATCTGGAGCTAGTATACTCGATGAGCGCGAGCTCGCTGCACGGCTTCGCGAAGAGAAGATCACTGACCGTGAGATGGACCATGCTATCCGCACTACCCGCCAACATCTCGACGTCCTTGAGAAGATGGTGGACAAACGCAAAGCCCAATGGGAAGCCGACGAACCAGTGAAGTCCGAATTGTGATGGACATCGATGGTTGTTCCTCCTTGCACATAAGCCCAACCAGGCTCCCCCCTATCCTCTCTCCTTTATAAACTTGTCTCATGCCAGAAAAGTCCCACAATTTTCCTTTTCCAACACCACACAAAATCTATTTCCTTGTCTTTACAACTTGTTTTATTCTCATACATTTATCAGGGTGTTATCCTGGAGTCATGGGAACAAGCAGAGCTTGTCCATGCTGATATCACCCTCCTCACATTCATTCTGAACAGTCCACCGTCGTTATCCGACTCTCCCTCCCCACATCTTTCGATACAGGGGCAGGTTTTCCTTGCATGTACATGAGCGCCAACTATCTTGTCTTTACCGGTCTACGAGCTACCGGCTTCTATTTTCTTGTTCTTCTTGCTGATTTTTCATCTGAGCGTACTAGCTACTTCTTTTTTTTTTGTTTCATAGGTGGCACTGTATCCCTAAAAGTTTCCCATGCAGCGTGTTTTTGCTGTTTGGATATCTTTTGGAGTGCTACCGTGTGCTCTCTTTTCTTTGCCCATTGGGCTTCTCTGTGAATACCTTGAGCTATCGCTATCTTATTTACATATTAAATTTAGGCTATGCCTTACAGCCTTGTGTGCGTTCGTAATACTAGAAAGTAAAATACTTGCTTGAGCTCGAGATAAGCTCGACCATATGTCCATATCGCTTAACAAGAGAGGAATATCCCGAATAACTGCAATAGCCTGGTTTATAAATATCAATCAAGGTATTTCTCTAACGAATCTTCGTTTCAATCCATTTTCTTAAGCACTTGGCTTTTTTCATAGTTAACTACTTCCCTGTTGATTATGTCACCCCTTTCCCCTTCCAATGTTTCCCCTTCACTTCTCACTATTTCATTCTTGCACCTGAGATATTAGTTTCCAATTAATTTACACGAGACTCTTTGAGCAACTCCCGAGATGAAATCGATCAGACACATAATGACGCGTTCGTTGACTCCATTCCGCAGACAACTCTTCCCGATGCCTCCTCGGGAAGCTCTTCTACCCCAAAACGAATTGGTGGATGAAGAGATCTGCCCAGGCTATGATTCCACCAAATTCTACCCAGCGAATCCGGGTGAATTACTCGGCGACCGGTACCAAATCCTAGTCAAAGTCGGCTGGGGTATCTCTTCTACTGTGTGGCTTGCTCGTGATATGATGGGGTACTGTTTCTTTCACTGCCCTACCTGATCTATATCTAATGAATCCAGACATGAAGAAGAACCGGAAAGCGTCGTAACGCTAAAGATAACAAATACAAATACAAATCAAACCGCGGTTGAGGGAGAACGTCAAATCGAGGAACGCATTGCGAACGCAGATCCATCACACCGCGGACTTGCATTATTTCGACCAAATGTGGATTCTTTCGAGGTCTCCGGTCCTAATGGAAAACATCTATGTCTGGCGTACGAGCCCATGAGGGAGCCATTCTGGCTTTTCCAGAGGCGTTTTGAAGATTGGCGGATTCCGCTTCCCCTTGTCAAGACGTACATTCTCTTTTTTCTCGTGGGCCTTGATTATCTTCACACAGGATGCAAGGTTATCCATACAGGTGCTTAGTTCTCTCACTGGTTTGGGGCTTTCGAAAATGCTTATACTTCTACAGATCTAAAACTTGAGAACATCATGGTCTCCTTCGAAGATCCGGCTGTGCTTGGAGATTTTTTAAATTCCCATCTCGATCAACCAGTTCAGTGTAAAATTGACTCGACAGGGCGACACATATATCGCAGGCACAACGACTTTGGGCCGGTAAGGAATATAAGAAGAATCCTTCCGAAAATCGTTGATTTCGGAGGGTCTACACAAATTGATAGCGAGAAAGAACGCGGCATATATCCCATACAACCAGATCACTATCGTGCGCCTGAGGTTATTCTTGGATGTGGCTGGGAAACGAGTGCTGATATCTGGAATCTGGGAGTTCTTGTGCGTCAGCTAGGCATATATCCCTGGCTCAAACTGATTGTATTGCTAATGCCATATTAGCTCTGGGATATTATACAGGGAAGAGAGCTCTTTCGCCAGGTCCACGATGCGCAGGGTCACTATCAAGCTAAAGCGCATCTTGCAGAGATGATAGCTCTACTCGGTCACCCTCCGCCGGAGTTAATCGCAAGACTTCAATCGATGAAGTATCAATGGCCCGAACCTGTGGAAGAGGACGGTGTGACCTATGATAGTGCAGAGCAATATTTCGGCGGTCCCTTTTTTGATCATACAGGTATTTGGAACTTATCCTGTGTACAGCATTATTACACGTTACTAATAGGTTACTAATAGGGAAATTCTTGCACGAGGACTTGATCCCCGATCGGAATCTCGCGGACACACTTCCATTTCTCGAAGAAAAGGAAAGAGAGAATTTCTTGTCCTTTGCAAAAATGATGCTGGCCTGGCTCCCAGAAGAGAGGAAGACGGCACGTGAACTGATAGAGCACCCATTCCTCCAAAGAACGAAGAAGCCTGGCAATTGATGGAGTTTACGCAAAGAAAGAGTACTTTATGGGCTCAGATATACGTGCGTGATACCGACTTACACAAATTCTCTAGTTTGAATGGCATATCATGCTCTTCGGAGAGTAATACACTTGAGCCTTGGGGGATTATTCGCAAATATCATGGTCTTCTACTATTTTATGTTATGATCTGATGATTTGACTTACGATGATCATCCACTTTGATACTCCTATCTCTCAGTCAGGTAAGCATATCTTGGAAATATATTACGGTAAAGGTCAATTGGAGAAACAGCGCAGTCTTAGGTACATGATCACCAAAGGAATCTAATACTTAATAGATGTATCGGAAGCTGTTGGAAATCGTTAGTACTTTTCTTACTAGAGTTGGAAACCGCATCAAGAGACATACTTCAGGTTTTCTCGGTCCGTCAAATCCAAAAACGCAGTCGCATCCAGGTCTCTCCCGGCGAGACCACCCTCCATTTGGGACTGGATGCGATCGCGCTTCTGATTTTCCCAGCGCAGCAATAGACCAAGGATACTGATCAAAACGGCCTCGATCAAGTGCGAGACAATCATGGACCAGATGCCGAGCGTGTAGGTAGGTCTATAGTTCGAGTTAGACCTGTGGTTCTGGAAATAATGGAACTATCTCCGAGGAAAAACGTACGATTGATCTGTCTTGTAGAAGAATGGCCCGGCAATGTTTCCAGTGCAGTATCCTAGGAACAAAACAGCGTTGGTGACGACTTTCTTAGTATGGCCTAAATCCATAATATCATTAGTCTCTGTGGTGCTTTTCGATTGAACATCCGAAGAAATATGTCACTTACCAGCAGTGTTGGCCATCTGCATACTCAAAACGAGTACAAACGCAGCATTGTATGGGCCTGTCAGATAATAGCAAATCAAGCGGCCCACGCTGTGTTCAACAGGAACAAAGCGAAGACCAAAGGAGCCGGCAAGGTTAGGAATCAGGAATATGAGGACGAAAACACATCGTCGATTCTGGAAGCGATCGTTGAGGTAGACGCATGTCAAAATCGAGATAGCAATGATAAAGCCGTATGGAATCTGTTTATACCAGGTTAGCTGGAGATTAGGTTGCTATCAAATGAACCCCACCTGCATAAGGGTGGTCACCAATGTTGAGAACCCAAGCCCTTTAATAATTATGGTGCCGAAGTTCGAGATACCACCGTTAGGAACATTGCCTATGTTGATGTTAGTCAATGCAACATATTTGGACATGGCACAAGTCACATACAAACCACCCCAAGAATGAAGAACATATAAAGTTTGTAGTCTAGGAAAGCCTCCAAAACCTGATACGGCTTGAGGTGTTTATTTTCGACACCAGTCTGGTTTTCTCGTAAACGCTCAACAGCCATGCGGCGTTCTCTCTTGGTAAGACCTTTTGCTGTAACGGGTGAATCTGGGAGGAAGATGAACATGACAATGCCCCAGGTAGAACACAGTGCACCACTAAACAAGGTCAGTAAAAGGACAGTTCGAATGAATGAGCGAGAGAATCAACATACATTACGAGAAACTCGTATTTCCAAGACGGCAGTGCACCTTTAAGATGACCAATTCCATAGCCTAGTAGCCCACCCAATGCAATACCAAGGCCGTTCGCTGTGTACCACAGTCCGAGACGCACTGGCTGTTCACGACGGGTATACCACATGCTCGTGATCAGCATGAAAGCCGGGTCAGAACAGGCCTCGGCAGCACCGCCAAGGGCTCGAAGAACAGCGAGGGTCTCGAAGCTGTTACATGCAGCTTGAAGCATGAGGAAGACACCCCTTGAAGAGGAATGTTAGTGTCTGATTGTATTCGAGATCAGTTTAACGAACCACATAAAAATATTCGCACCCAGATATTTCCCTAAAACACGTATCAGATGGATATCCAGTCAAATAGCCAGGGAGAATCATACCGATTGGAAGACGCTGCATCAGAAAATTGGTCGGGAATGCCCATGCCAGGAAACCAAAATAGAAGATACTGCTCAGCCAGCTATACCGAGTTCCATGTAGATCCAGATCTTCCCGTATTCCAAAAATAGCAGCATAGCTCAACGTTGTCTGTTTCCAAAACGCGTGCTATTAGCATAGGTTTTCGGCCAAAAGGGAGAAAATAGGTAAATGGTCTTGAATCAAAGAGACTGACCTTATCAATGTAGAAGAACGCATAGCAAACAGCCAAGTAGGGCAGGATCATAAAGTCAATCTTCCACAATAGCTTCCTCGCTTCCACAGGATCGACTTCTTCGTGGAGCTCGTCCGGGTCATCGAACAGCGCCATAGCCGTGTCGCCGTCAGCATTCTTGGCAGCCTTAAAATTGGAGTGTTCTTGATTGCTTTCTTCGTGTGTGATAGTGGGAACTTCGGCGATGTTGGCCTTTGAGTCGACATCTTGTGGGGGAACGGGGGGGACATGGTTCGCCATAGTGGTGTTACTTTCGTATGATAGAAAGTGCGTATAATATAAAATAGAGAACAGAAATCAATGAGCCTGGGCTAGAGGGAAATATATATAAAATGCAGGACCAGCCGGGGGGGTTGAGACGACATGAAATGTATAAAGCGATAACAACAACCTCGGAATGACCCCGAGTCTCGCCCCTTGATTCAATTCAAAGCAGGGACGTCTTCGAAAAGCAGCCATTTCGTACTTCCCCGCGAATTCCAGACCTACCTTGCCCCCAAACGGCATAGCTCTAAAGGATCATCTGCGGGGAAGACCCAGTACGGGGCCCCCACGCCGTCGTGTCGCGAGCTGATCTGTTCCAAACGTGGGGAAGGTGGGTCTTGGCTGACGAGTAGAGCAGAGTCAAATCGAAAGCACCGTTCAGTCCATCTTAACGAGTCTGGCTGAAGGCCAAAGCTTGCCTGGCACAAAGGCTGCTATTTGTGGTCGGCGAAAGTCCGAGGACTCGGAGATTATGCCGCTGGACTGATCATTTCTGAAGTTGATTACACCGACTCATCGCTGAGCGATAATGCAAGCTCCTATGGATGGCGTCCGAGCTTCCATGACAGCCGAAGATGACAGTTGTGAAAACAAGTCTCAACGGCTGAAGCTGCAAAGAGTATCATGGTTCACCACCGCAATGAAGATGTTTCACTTGGCCAATCCATATTGAGATGAATTTGACCATATTGCTAAGAGTTGAGAATGTTTCTTCTTTATGCGAAGATTCCGGTGTCTAAAATTAGATTACTTCCCAAAGAGTCCGACTAAGGAGTTATCGATAGTATAAAGAAATATTTGAATTAAATTTTGAACCACACATCGCAGTTTTGATGGGAATGATCTTCTACGCAAAGATACTAGACGGTTAGTCAACTTTTTGACGGGGATTACCAAGGCCATATGTGGCTGCACATGTGTCTATCGCCGGTTGAAGTTCAAGAAGCGAGACTGTATCAAAATCAATCAGTATCACAATTACAAATGTAGAACCAAGATATAGTATATCCACTTACCGCCACGAACAAGACGATCAGGTTGGACCCAATAAATGCTGCGAAGATGCCCAGGTCCCGCCACCGGTTATCAAAGGACATATTGAAAGCCGCATAGAATTGCTCTCCAACCTTGTACGCACAGTACTTGCAAGCCTGCGCCGCGTCGTCGACGATGTATCCGTTGCCGCCGCGGTCAAAGAATGGCTTCATGTACTCGCCACAAGTGAGGTTATCAGGGGCATTGAACAGATTCAGCTCCGACTCTGTGCAAACTACGTCCCGTCCCTGTAGCTCTGTCACAACCATTCCGCCGATCAGACGAGTGAATGGATCTAGATCGTATAGCCATGCACGCCAGAAGCCTGGCATCTGCGGCTTGGGGATTGCAACACCACAGAATAGAGAGAAGATAATCACTACCGGTGGGTTGATCTGAGACGCAATGAAGCTGTTGGGGGTCAGGGCTGAAATCATCTGGCCCAGAGTGACAGAGAACATCTCGGTAATGAGGATTATGAAGAACTGGTAGCCGGACCGGCTGGACTCGGTCTGGAACCCTGGGATGTAGTACAAGGGGAGGAAAAAGCAGACGGCGCACAAGACACTGTATGGGATTTCGGCGACCACCATTGACAGTGAAAAGGCAAATTGGCTGTAGGTTTTTGATGCTGATTCGCGGTAGAAGATCAGACGCGCCATATCGTACCGGGGTTGAACCATTTGGAGAATAATTGCTGGTAGCACCGTCACGTTGAATATAACGAAAATGCGGTATTGCAGCGAGGAACGAGAGTCATCGAGATTCAAGAATACAAGACCCGTGATGATGGAAATTACAACATGGGTGTAAAGCCTGGTGAAGCCATAGTTCTTCGAGCGCCAGAATGATAGATGTGTTCGCCGACCGACGACTTTGATCTGGTGCCAGAGAGGTGAAGCGTACTCTCTATCAATCTTCTTCTCGTCCTGGTTATCACGCACGGCCTGAGCACGATCTTGCTTGATCTGAATGATTTCCTCTTTGACTTGATCCAGTTCAGGAGAAGTGCGCCAAATGTCACCCCAGTCACGGTCTCCGATCCGACGTGTTTGGCCAGCGCCGATGGCATCAAGCATCCACTCAGCCGGATTAGCATCCGCGGGGCAATCGGCTCCATTGCGACGGAAGTAATCCAGCAGAATCTGGGAGTCATGGCCGATATCACCGTGGTATATGCATTCACCTCCTCTTTGGAGTAGGAGCAGACGATCAAAGCTTTCGAATAGGGCGGAATTGGGCTGGTGGATAGTGCAGAGAATAGCTTGTCCTGCTGCTGCTAGCTTCCGAAGGAAACGAACAATGTTCCAGGCAGATTGGCCATCCAGACCAGAGGTAGGCTCGTCCAGAAACAAAAGCAGCTCAGGCTTCGCCGCCAGTTCGACGCCAATTGTGACTCGCTTCCTTTCTTCGACCGAGAGACCAGTTTCAGGTGTACCGATGATTGCATCTGCCAGGTTCTCCAGCTCCAAGAGAGTGAGGATTTCTTCTACGTAAGCGTA